GAAATTGCACATGCAATCGCGGAATTCAACACCTCCAACACCTTGGCGAATGGGTCGCTCCTCATGTGAACACACTTACCAAACTTCCAAGCCTACGCGATTGCATCTACCTGACTACGACTACAAAACATGACCAGCCTAACCAAAATCCTCTTTTGCGATTCCACAACTACCTACGTGATTGAAAAGTTCAATACTCCACCTGCCAACTTCTCTTTTCAGCGATTGCGAGTCTCAGCCCCACAACATTGCCCAGCACTAGAAAACCAGCAATGCAAACATTATCTGAAATGGTCCGAGACCACACTGAATTACACCCAAGGCCCCCAAGACCCCGTCCAATCATACCAGCAAGTCCAAATACCTTATGAAAACTTATCTAAAGGCTCTAAATACCATAAACAACATCAAAACCAAGAACCAAAGGTCATGATCATTCTCCTAACTTTAAAACCTTCAAACTTCGCCGAACGCGTCCAAATCACACTTAGATATTCCCGATCACAACCATAACCTAACTGAACCTATCCAAGGCCCCAAAGCCACAATAGGAGTCTGATAACACCAAAGTTAACTCCCAGTCAAACCTATGAACTCTCCAATTTATCAAATTTCCAACCTTCGACAAATAGAGTCAAGCACTTCTAGAAACATCCAAATTCATATATGAATATACGCCTAAGTCCAGAATTACTATATGAACCTATTGGAATCATCAAATCACCAATCCGGCATTGATTACTTAAAATTCAAACCTTTATCAACTCTTCCAACTTACACCTTTCAAATTGAGAATCACTCTATCAAATACATCCCGAACTGCTCAAAAATCGATTCCAACCATACATGCAAGTCATAGTACACCATATGAAGTCACTCTAAGTCTCAAATCACAAAACGAAATGCTAAAACTTAAAACAATCGATCGGGTCATTATATTTTCCTTCAATATCTAGGTATATTTAGAGTTTTTTTCATTGAGATTCTTAGCGAAGGCAATTGCTGCCCAATTGTAAGGAACTTGAGGTAATAACATCCTTTCTCTCTCCCTTTGGAATCGATCAATGAATTCCCAGAGTAACTCAGTGTCTCCTTGCTGTATTTTGAAGATATCTTCTATTTGTTTTTTAACATTTTATGCTCCGGTGTGCACCTTGGTGAAGGCCTCGACAAGTGCTGCAAAAGAGATAATGTGTTTTTGGGAATTAAAGAAATAATAAGTTAGTTCTTCTTTAATAATGGCTTCTCCAAGATTTTTTACGAGCATTGATTTTATCAAGTTTTCCTTTGATTCAGGTTGTATAGACTATAAAGTGATCTCGGAGGTCTAACGTCCTGTCATGCCTCAAAATGTCTAGTATCTTGATTTTTTTTGGAATTGGCAACAATGTTGTGCTTTCTTTCCAAGGATGTTGTGATTATTTATCCATATCAATTCCTAGGACTATGGGTAAAATTTTGAAAATTTATTCCATGCGTTCACCTTGCTCTTTAATATGCTTTTGCAAGGTTAGGACTAGTTTTTTCAAGTCTAAATTAATGGGCATACCTGAACCTCCCATTCCGGGGTCATTCGCTAGTCCCCTAGTGTCAGAATTTTGGGGGGCATTTGTAAGATCAACCCTTGATGATGCTGGTGCCCTGGCACTCACGGCTTCTGTTAAGCTCATTACGGCCTCGTTAATTTGTTGACTCCATATTCTTTGTGTATTTATGAATTTCGCTAATTGTGCAGTTCTAGAGGTTTCCCCCGGAACGCGTTGAGGTGTTGTTACGTGGTCTAGAGTTCCTCGAAGAGAGTCAAAGATCTGGTAATCCATTAATTCTCGAAAATTGTGCTCCATCATTTTTGTTTCACGTAGTTGAACTATCTCCAACCTTGATATTTTCATCTTGGTTGATTGGATGATCTCCGGCTATATTGATAGTTTAAATTGAGCAGAAATAAAAAAAGAAAACTTAGTATTTTGGATGAATAGCAAAATTGTTGTAGCCTACGGTGGATGTCAAACTATTTAACCAAAAATTTGATTTTTAAGACAAAGCAATTGAGGGCTGAATGTAGTAGATTCAATCAAAAAAATAACTAATTATAGAGAATAAAATGATGAGGTGTAAAGCAAGACGAAAAACTAATATTATTTGATGGTTGCGTGGGGCTTGAAAGTTTGGGGCCGTATCTACTATAGAGCTTGTAAGACCGTTTAAGGTGAAAATAATAGCCTTTCAAGTGATGACAGTGATTCAAGAGGTTATAGATTGTTCTTGCAAATGAACAAGTGTTAATTTTTTTTTATTATCTTTACCTAGTTAGGATATATGAAGAAGATAGCATTTGCGTACCGCCAGTGTCATGATAAAAAGGGAAAAGACCCAAATATTGACATCAATAAACGAATAAACATAATCGGGGTTAACCATAATTCTGATCAAAGTAGGCAGTTAGAGCCTTTTGACCCTAGGTTCGCCATACCAGACATACAACATCATAATTAATATGTAGTAACTTAGGGGTTGTTAGGTTGATTGTTATGCATGTAATAGTAATGTATGAATTAGTTATGCAGGGTTTAGTTACATTGTGATTAGTTATGCATGGATTAGTTATGTAGGAACTAATTTTGCAAAATTTAGTTATATAAGGATTAATAATATAAAAATGTACTGTGAGTTTTATTTATTATAGTCTAGTTTATTCTATTAAAAGTATATTTTAGATATATTTTTAAACAAAAAAAATACAAGTTTGAATAGAGAGTATTCTTGTTATTTTGTGTTTTAATAAAAAGTATTACTAATACATGTATAAATTATTCCACCTTCTACCCTATATTAATACTAGTAGTGGTACCCGCGCGATGCGCGGTAAACATTTAAAAAATATTAATTAAATTAAATTATATTGGGCTTGTTTGATCCTATTAGATCGTATTACTTTAGTAAATTTAAATTGTCATCTTATTTGTCATTACGATATACCCAACAATAAAATCTCTATTAAATTAAAGATACTTATATAGTCAGTGAATAATTTTTTTGTTCTATATTTTTCTTTATTACATTATCCATTGTTTAGTATTATTATATTGTTAATTAAATTTTTTATTAATTTTGTCTGCTCGCTTTCTTTTTCTAATATAAGAGAAGATATATAATTTATTACTGTTGAAATATATTTTTATTTTGAATTTTAATATGTTGTTCTTAATAATATTATCTAAATTTTAATGAATAAAATCTCTATTAAATTAAAGGGACTTATACATGTAGCGAATAACTTTTTTGTTGTATTTTACTTTATTATATCACCTAATATTTAGTATTATTACATTGTTAATAGAATTTTTTATTAGCGTATTACTTTAATTAATATTTTTCTCTTCTGCTTTGTGTTTGTAATATAATAGAAGATATATATTTTATTACTGTTGAAATAATTTTTATTTAAAATTTTACTCTATTGTTCTCAATAATATTGTCTGAATTTTAATGAACAAATTCTCGATTAAATTAAAGGGACTTATGTAGTCATCAAATAACTTTTTTATGTATTTAACTTTATTATATCACCCATGTTTGAGTAGTTAATTTTAGATAGTTCATTTCGTTGTGTCTTTTTTATCATTTTTTTTGTAAATAATTTTTGAATCTCCTAATTGTTGGATCTTTATCCTAAAATTTGTCACTTTGTTAACTTTTTGATGTTATATTTGGAATTATCACAATGATTCACTTCTCTCTATTCTATAAAAATAAAATAGATATTGTCTGAATTTTAATAATCTCTATTAAATTAAAGGGACTTATATAGTCATCAAATAACTTTTTTTTGTTATGTATTTCTGTTTTTTATATTATCCAATATTTAGTTTAATTATTTTGTTAAAAGAAATTATTATCATATTACTTGTTTAATATTTTTGTTTGCTAATTTTTTTTTGTAATATAATAGAAGATATATATATTTTATTACTCTTGAAAATATTTTTTTATTTTAAGTTTTATTATATTTTTCTCAATAACAATGTTTGAATTTTAATGAATAAATACACTTTTTATTTCGAAAAAGAAAAACGAAAATAATTTTAAAAAATGAACTAAAGAAATTAACTAACCTAACCCTCACCCCGTGTTTGAGTAGTTAATTTATGTAGTTAATTTATTATTGATTTTTAATAAATAATTTTTTTGTTGTTAACTAATTGTGCCATGTGGCTTTTTTTTATTGCTTTATTTTTGTTTTTTATTTTAAAATAAATTTAAAACTCCAACTTGAAACTACTCCCCAATTTGAATTGGTAATTTTTTATTTTTTTTATTTCGTTTTTTATTTTAATTTTTTTTAAAAATTCCAACTTGAAACTACTCCCCAATTTGACTAGTTAGTTGTTTTTTTTTTAGTATTTTTATTATAACTAATTTTTTTAAAAAATTATTTTTAATCTCCAATTTGAAACTACTCCCACCCAATTTGAATGGGTAGTTATATATATATATATATTTATATTTTCATTTTTTTATTATGACTAATTATAAGATATCTATATTTCTTCAATCAAATAAAGTAACCTATATATATATAGATGATAGGTTTTATTTTTAATTATTTTAGTTTTTATAGATATTTAAATTCAAAAATAATAACTAATTATTAACTAAATAACTAATTATACAATGTGGCTTTTTTTTAGGCTGCCACTTGGTTTAAGGAGATGACTTTGTCCTCTTCTTTTAATAATATATAGATATAGATATAGATTTCCTTATAACTTATACATATATTAGTAATGCGGAAAAGAAAAACAAGAACCGAATATTGTATTAATAATAATTTGTTTTATGTGGAAAAGAGAAAAAATCAATCAAACATGGAATAACTTGTGCTAGATTCCCATTTTGTAATTCTAGTTCTAGTTTTAACACATGGATAACACCTGTCTAATTGACTATCAAACGACCATAAGTTATTAACATTAATTAATGCACGTCTCTGACAAATACCATGTGTCCCTATAGCCAATCTTCTTTCAAATCTTCTACCTGAGCGTCGAGTTTCGCGTGACCTTTGTTTTCTCAGTACCAGCACTTAGCTTCAATTTCTAATTGTTAAAAAATTGATTCAGATGATGGGCGAAGAAGGTCGTAAAGAAGCAATGGAGAGTCTATCTCTTGACGACGATGAGGACGATAACAAATCGACCTCCAAATCCTACTCTAATTACCGAAGTGCCATGACTTCCCTTTCCGATTCCCACCATCCTCTTTCCCCGTCAGTCGTCGCTACACCTGCCGATTCCGATCCCTTGTTAGCTCCTCCTGAAACTTCCTCTATTCAACCCCCTTCTCCTTACGCCGACATCGTTTCCAACCCTCTCGACGCCAGCATTGTTGAAGAACTTAACGGCATCCAAAACCCTAACGACGACTCGAGTAACTCGACAATGCCGGAGATACCTCCCTCTTTAAACTTGGAGTATTTGAATATCACGGTTTCAGATCCGCACAAGGAAATGGAATCGGGGTCAATTGTTCCCGGCAGTAATACTTACGTTACCTACTTAATCACTACCAAAACCAATTTACCCGATTACGTAGGATCCGATTTCAGCGTTCGGAGACGGTTCAAAGACGTGGTTACGTTATCGGATCGATTGAGCGAAGGTTACAGAGGGTATTTCATTCCTCCGAGGCCAGATAAGAGTGTAGTGGAGAGTCAAGTGATGCAAAAGCAAGAGTTCGTGGAGCAGAGAAGATCGGCACTGGAGAAGTACTTGCAGAAGCTTGCATCACATCCGGTGATCAAGAAGAGTGATGAATTGAGAGTGTTTTTGCAGGTGGACGGTAAGCTTCCTTTGCCTACGACCACTGATGTGGCATCTAGGGTTTTGGATGGAGCAGTGAAGTTGCCCAAGCAGTTGTTCGGAGGGGGCTCAGGGGGGAATGTGATTGGCCCGCAGGATGTTGTGCAACCCGCTAAAGGTGGCAGGGATTTGCTGAGGTTGTTCAAGGAGTTGAAGCAGTCTGTTGCGAATGATTGGGGCGGCTCGAAGTCACTTGTGGAGGAGGAGGATAAGGATTTCCTGGAAAAGAAAGAGGGGTTGCAAAATCTTGAGCTGCAACTAAGTAATGCATCAAAACAGGTATCTCATTTCGATTTATGTTATATGCTGACACTGTAATTAAACTTATTATAGCAGGTTACTTACTAGTAGTATTTATTATGGTTACCTGCATTTAACTTTTATGCGACCTGATTATGTAGATATTTTTTGCACCATCAGCGCATAGAACTTAAAACTCTTTTCATTTCCCTATTCGCGAATTATACTATTTCTCATTCTAATTCTACATATTTTTGTGCTTTTATTTTCAATCCGAGTTTGTTAGTGTCACATTTTCCTGTAGGAGTATAATGACACTGGTCTAATCAGAATTCTCAAGTAGCTAAATGGTTTTGTTACCATTGTCCAAAAAAAAAAAGAAGGTAGCTCAATGGTTTACAAATTTAGTTCCTAAAATGGAACATGTATTGGTTTGCATATTACCCATTGAGTTCTGTGAATATTGTTCTGTTTGTTATTAGTTAATCTTTTATAATTTTATTCCAAATTAGGCCGAATTACTCGTGAAAGCTCAGCAAGATATGGGGGAGACGATTGGAGAACTGGGGCTAACATTTATTAAGTTGACGAAATTTGAGAATGAGCGAGCTACGTTGAACTCTCAGAGAGAACGCGCAGCTGATATGAAAAACGTGGCTACTGCGGCTGTTAAAGCTAGCAGATTGTATCGGGAGTTGAATTCACAGACAGTGAAGCATTTGGTAACCATTTTATCCTTTAGAGCAGACCTTATGTTTATAAGAGTGCGCCTTGTTTAAAACACTCTTTTCTCTTTCCATTATAAACTAGTTTCTAAACATGTGCATTGCACATGTATTCCACTTCAATTGGTACAAAGTTTTCAATCCGACTGAAATATTAGTAAAACATGTGCATGATATATAAACATTTAAAGGAAAAAAAATATAAGCTCAAAATGATGAATAAGGATCCTATAGTAGCTGAAATCAAATTGATCGAAACTTCCGCAGAAGAATGTTTATTTTAGTTAGGTAGGTAAGATATATAATTAGTTACATTAATTTTGATGAAGTACAAACATGTGATATGGTCGGATCTCACCCAATACTTCGTTATAAACAGCGTTTTATGTTCATGTGTTATTCTGACTTCTTGGTTTTTCTGTCATGTCCAATACTTTTGTTGTGATAGGTATCCTCTTGAAAGTTGCAACTATCACTAATATATGGTTGTGATCTATATATCTGAAGATAACTATAACTGTAAGTTTATAAACAACTTTGTTTTTGAAATCATCTCAAACTGTACCATTGCAACTAATAATAACAAGTTACACAGGATATTCGTCTAATCAAGAATGTTGAGTTTTGTGAGTATAGTTGTGAAGATATATGTAAGAGGAGAAACAACCACAGAAATCAGCAAAACAATCATACAAAGCAGCAAAAAATGCAACATATTTGCGTGAGTTACCAGTTGCATCTTCGCTCTCCAAGTTATAGGTGACAAACATGCAGGACTAATTAAAAGAATTTTTTTTTTCCAGAAAGAGTTAATCAGTTTCAAAGCATGCCTAGGTGTTCGAGCAAAGTCTATTTTAACACAATAAACTTTATGCTCAGTGAATCCATTCTACTTCTATTAAACAAGAGAAATAGGTTAAATGAATTACCAAAAAGTAATAGGCCGAACCAGATTTGACTATTGCAGAGCCGAAGTAGAGTACTTTGTAAATGGATTGCCTTGAATATATGGGTTGATTTTTCCATTAGCAACTAAAGGAGTCGAAGAGTCACTGAAGTGAATGCTATATTTCTTCAACTCCCAAGAAAAGTTGATCTAGGAATTACAATCATTAAAAGCAATTGCCTAAATTTAATACAGACTATGAACATATAGGGACTAACTTTTACGTTTTATTTTATATTTAAACTGCATAATATTCACTGATGAAACTCACGGCTCCTTGGGATCCTTTACTTTATAAGAGTTTTTCTCTTTTTGAATATATGCCCAAAAAAAAAGAAGAGTAATGATATTACAATTGACACCTTGTTCTTTTAGGATTTAGAAGGATAAGAAGGTCATTTAATTTGTTTTTCTCTAAGCCGAGGGTCTATTGGAAACAATCTTTCTATCTTCACAAGGTAGGGGTAAGGCTGCGTATATATTACCCTCCCCAGACCCCACTATGTAGGATTATACTGGGTTTGTTGTTGTTGATATGATATGATTTGATGATCAAAGAAACAAATTCCATGAATGGACTCCGGTGGTTGTCATCTGCACTGAACTTGGAAGTGCAATGTTCTTTCAGCTTTCTACCACTATTTAGGTTGTTGATCAACTTTACAGAAGATGTATTTTGGTGCGCTCTTACATTCTATAATGAACCTTAACTTTTAATACTGGAATTATATGTATTGCAGGATATTCTACACGAACACCTGAGTTTAATGCTGGGCATACACCATGCATTTTCAGACCGGTCAAGTGCTTTATTGACAGTGCAGACTCTCATTTCGGAATTGTCTTCCTTAAATTCAAAAGCAGAGAAACTTGAAACAACAACTTCTAAGATATTTGGAGGTGATAAATCAAGAGTTCGAAAGTCGGAAGAGTTAAAAGATGCCATTAGGGTCACTGAAGATGCCAAAAGCTGTGCCATCAGAGAATATGAGCGCATTAAGGTATTTAGAATTAGCCCATGGCGTCTGCGGTTGGTTAATTTAATGTTTTTAGCATTGCCATTGTGTGCTCTACTAGTTCTGCCTTGCATTCTACGTCTTTTGTTGTTTGAAAATGGCTTATTGTCATTGGATAACTTCATTATTTACTACTCTTTGTGTTGCTGAATTGATGTTATATTGATTACCCCAATTAGCTGAAGCTAACTTTCTCATTGGTTATTTGAGATATGCAGTGCGTTTCATCTTGTTGGATGTGATTAAAAATCCTTGTCTCTCATTACCTTAGGTCTCTTGTGATATTTGGTGATTCATGTTGAAAATCCTTATGAATGATTTCTGTTAGATAATTTTGGTAAATTGCTAAAATGACCCAGAGTTGAACTTACCCCAAGTTTCAAATATTAGCAGACTGAAACAAGTCGCTTAGTCTGTTGCTTACAGCTCATTCTTCTATGAATCTTTCTGGTGACACATTTGTTCTAACCTTGCAGACGTAATCTTTGTAAATGCTACTTCCATAGCTGTCTCCTTTAAGACGAATACAATGTTTTCCCAGTTTTATATTCCTCGCCAATTTTATAAATGTATATAGGTGTATTCCTGATAATAGCATTTCTAATTGGTGTAGATGTATTAATTGAAGAACTTACCCAAAAAAGGGATTTTTTTTTGATATGGTAATGAATTTCATAGAAGGCATCAAGGAGATGCAAAAATTACAGAGCAAGAATATAAAAAAAAAAGACAATGTTAGCTCTATTACAGAAAAACTATTCTAAAGTGAAGGAGCTAACAAAGTCCAAAAAGGTTTCAGGGGAAGGTAAAGGGGACAGGTTGCTCCAACTACAAAGACTTGTTAAACATCTGGTTTTAAGAATGTAGTTTAGAGTAGATATGCCATCAAAACATCTAGTATTTCTTTCTGTCCAGATACACCAAAAAATACAAGCAGGGAGCATCTTCCATACTTTGCTGATGGATTTTCCAACCTTCCATGAGATCCAGCTAGCATCTTTTACACTATCAGACATGATAAAAAAAAAGATGTATTTAGTGAAGAATACTTCCTTTCCGCCTAGCACATTTTTCTTTTCAATCTGAAAGAGCTGCGTGGTTTTGCCCTTTGACAGTTTTCTTCTCAAGTTCTTTGATGTAATAATTTAAAAAATTTCAAGATCCAAAGCTAATAATTCTTTTTGAGAAAAGAAGCTAATATAGTAATTTTTTGTTCTATCTCCACCAATAAAATCACAACTGATACAATGATACATTTTTATTGTCTTAAACTACCTAAAACTTTAAAGATGCAATTGTGGACTCTTATCTTCAATGAAATTTCAAGTGAATATCCATGAAACTTCTTCTTGTCCTATGTCTGGCAAATTGCACTATACTTTTTCTCTGACAATCTTAGTCAATCTTAGTAGGCTGACAATCCTTCGAAAATCACTATCTTAAACTAAGTTTCCACCTTTTCCTTTCAATAAATGTCCGGTACAGTATAGTTGCTTTCATTTCCATCTCATTTGTGAATAGTCCTTGTACTTATCATTCAATCAGCTATGCCCGAACCCTTATCAAAATTGGATTGGCTGTATGAATCATCTGAAGCTGTATGCTTTGTGCTGGCCTAATTATATGCCCGAATTCAGGCCTTAAAGATAGGGGTTCTCTAAAATTGGAGGGTCTCTGAATCTAACATTTATTCTTACGGTCGTATACAAGTATTAACCAGACTAAGAAGACTCTTGGCAAACACCTCCCATAATACAAGTGCACTGACAATAACTATACCTTAATACCAGCTAGTTGGTATCATCCCCTAATGTGGAACTAATCCAAAAAATATCTAGGATAGTCTAGAATCAGAATCACAATCATAAAGTAAGGTAGCAAGTTTGGGGATCACAAATTGTAACCAAAAGTTTAGGCCGTGCTGTTATCATTGTGTTTGGTGGAGACCAGAGATGGAGAAACATGCAAACAGGTTGAAACATCAATTTATCCCGTGTGATAACTTCTACCCGGCCCTCCTATGTGATATCCTTTTAGAGGGCTTATAATCTGCACCATTTTCTAATAAAACCCATGCTGAGATGAACCAGCTTTTGGAGAAAATATTTTACCCTGTTCAGTCTCTAATTAGACACGGACACGAAGCAACTATCATACTTTAATTGCAGAAGTTGGAGAGAATGTAGAGAATTGGAGAAAATACTAGAACTATGAGAAGTTTGAGAGAATATACATTTTGTGGTAGGAGTAAAATCATCAGAATCAATTCCTTTAAGCTACCATGAGTTTGTCTTGGTAGTCATCCTGAGAAATATAGGACTAGCACTGGCTGTACATGAACTATACAGTAAGTAGAAATAGAATTACTTAAATTTTTTGTTCTTAATCATCATGAACTAACTTAAAGAGTGTATTTATGAAGTTATGTTCGTTTAAGCGTTGCTTGGCTATAAGCTTGACTTCTAGGCTCACCTAGGCTTATCTTTGCGTTCGCACAATTGCAGGCGCCAACCATAATTTTAGCTGCCCAAGTGGATGCATATTCTTTTATTCATCTTGTTGATGTGAACGCCTCTGAGAATTTTTTGTTTTGATCCGCTGCCTCTTTATATTTTTCGGAAATTAATATTCTCTGTAGTTAGTCTTATTANGGCGCCAACCATAATTTTAGCTGCCCAAGTGGATGCATATTCTTTTATTCATCTTGTTGATGTGAATGCTTCTGAGAATTTTTTGTTTTGATCCCCTGCCTCTTTATATTTTTGGGAAATTAATAATCTCTGTAGTTAGTCTTATTAAAAAAATAATTTCAGTTGTTAGGGTGTGCTTATGTACTGTTCTTTCGGGAGCCCTAACAATTTATTTGTCTGATTACAGGAGAGTAATCGAAGTGAGATAGATAGAATAAATAGAGAAAGGCATGTTGACTTTGTGAAGATGTTGAAAGGATTCATAACTAATCAGGTACCTCATTGTTTTCTGACTGGTTTCTCTTTTAGATAGATTGCTAGACTTAAGTTCCATTTCTTGTTTGTCGGTAGTACTGCCTCCACCTGCCACCCTCCAAGATAGGGGGGGGGGGATTTAAAGAAACGGACAAAACGGGATAAAAGAAACAGGAAAGTGAAACATCCATTAAAGGATTTTGCTGATAACTGAAAAAGTGTAGTTGCATTCAAGTTTTTATTGTTGGTATATTAGCTATTAAACAAAGAGATTTGTGTTCATCTGCACCAGTGTTTACATGTTTTTTTATGTCCTTAAAATGTTGCTTTGATATATAGCAGCATGATGCCTGATCAATTGAGATGAGTGACATTTTCTGATTGACTAGTGTGGTCACACTTTAGTGCATCAGCAAGGGAACATGGAGGGAGGTGCAACTAAAAGTCTAGTTAACAATGGTGATTAAATTGTAGCAATCATTGCCAGACTTTTTCTTCTTTCTCCTTCTCCTAACCACTGCTTTCCCTCGTTTTTTCATGTGTGCGTTTAGCATTTATTGTCTTACAGATGCGTCGATTCTTAAACAGACACATGACCATGTTTGATTATGCAAGATCAACTAAGATACATAAGTAGGATGTGATAAAATTAAGTTACTCTCCCTTAACTCATGTTAGACGAAATATTCCATGCTTCATGTAACTTACCCAGCATAAATGAGTAGATGGCTTTTTCATAGAAAATGACTCTCTCCCTCTTGGATAATGTCCACATTTCTTTTGTACCAAAAACTAACGTCCACCTTCGTAAAAGAGTGAATTAGACAGCTGTACTCAATTTCTAGTTTCAGGGGACCTACTTTAGCTCTAGCCAGTCAAACTGGTTTCTTTTTTTTAAATTTTTAATAAAGAAAAGGTAATATATGGTCCCACATGTGTCCTCACCCAACGGACAATGATTCTAATTTTCTGATTGTCTTTCTATATAAATTCAAATTAAGACCCATAGCCCTCGATAACTTCTAGGTTATCAAAAATAAATAAATAAATTAAATGAACAAAGTTTACTGTACAACTCCAGTTGATTATTTACCCAAACTGGAATTTTTGCCCTTGGGTGTGGTGGGTAATGTCACTCACCATCCTAGCTAAGTTGGCTGGAATAAGAGATGCATTCTCTCCTGATGTAGAAAGTTGCTAAGAAATAGACATCATATGGACGCATATCAAGTTCTAGTTAGAATTTGAAATTTAAAATGATAGATTGGCCTGCCAGTAGTTGAAAGGTAAATGGGCTTTGTATATCTTTGGAGGGTGGATGGATGTATTTTAAATTTGGTGAGAAAGGATATGTGATGTACAATCAAGGTTTTGCACCTCTCAAGCACAAAGAAGAGAGAAAAACAAAAGCACCCCGCTAAAGTTTTTCACAAAACTAGCGAAAGCGTTCTTGGGCTTCTTCAATTTCTTGAGATTCTTGGGCCTAAATTGGACTAAGGCTAATTAGTGTAAGTATTTTAAATTCATGGCTAAATTCTCCAAATCCATTGGCACCTTCATGAGCCCAATAAGCCTCCATTGTTGTAGAAAACATGACCTCCACTTGTACTTCTCTAACATCAAGATTTGAGCTTGTATGTTCATCAATATGGTCTTCGAAAGGAAAGGAAGACACAAAAACCAAAGAATAAGGCCCAAAGAAGTTTATACTAATCGAAAGTATCAAACCCATTGGCATAGTGGAAGCTAAGATTTTAGCGAGCCTATTTGGACAATGGACCAAGATAATATAGAAACCTTTTGCCAATATATATATATATATATATATATATATATATATATATATGGGTGGAATGGTTGAAATAGAATGACAAGGAAATAGAGGTAAGAAAAAGATAATTGTAATGTGGCACAAATGTAATTGGGATTGCAAAAAGAAACAAATTTGTTGTCATTCAGTTTCATTCATTTTGAGGATGTAAATACATGAGTTAAAAGTATACCCTGAGGTGCATATGCGCCATGGTGCAGAAAGAACCAAAAATAGTAGTTGTAGGAGCTGACCTTTATAAGAGGTCATTAGGACCAGATCTAGTCTGTAGGGGAGGCTTCTATTTTACAAGATTAATTAATGAAGGAAAGGAACTGGCATCCCTAAAGTGACAAAATCAATGAAGGAATATCTCCAAGGTTATAGTATCTCTTGTGAAGTACAAGGAGGCCAGTTCACATGATTCAGGAGGGCACCTCCGGTAGGTGCTTAACAATATGGTAGGTGCTTCACTAAGGTCTTCTTTTAAAGATGTTGGTGTAGTATAAAAGGAGATATTATTAGAACTTTGGAGCATTTTATTAAGAGGGCACTTTCTGAAAAGAGCTTTCATATAACATTGCTTTAATTCCTAAGGAAAAAGGCATTGCCGAAATTAGAGATTATACCAATCAGTCTTATTGGGAAAAGCACCACTAAATTGCCGAAGGCTCTCCCCCAATTTCTCAAGAAAAGAAGACATAGGTAAATTGATATTTGGGAAGTGGAATGCCTTCATCAAAGTAGTGTTTTGTAGAGCGAGAAGTGGAAAAAAACGAGGAGGCCTCGCTTCACCGAAGCGCGCTTTTTTTTTCATGTGAAGCGCAATTTAACACTTAAATAAAAATAAATTGAATAGGCATAGATAAATGACCAAGAACTCAATAAAAATAATATATTAAGCAAATGTTTCAATTCTTAAATCAAGAAATAAATAACAGATACTAAAACTAGATAGTCAATGATCCTCAAAAGTCATAACATATTAAGCAAATGCAAAACAAAATCTCAAAAAGAGCAACATCCTATTCTTCAACAAGATCTCCAAACTATTGAAGTGTCATCATGTTCGAGTTATTATATTGGTCGTCATCTTCTTCATCATCATCAGAGGCTTCATCAATTAGGGTTCTACTTGTACTTGTAGATACTCTTTCTTTGCTCCTTAAAGTACTTCCCCTAACACCATAAACATTCTCCTCAACTCCACTTGCCATAGCAACATGACCAAAAGTGAGACCTTCTCCTTCATATACTTCTTCTTCTTCTTCATGATTTTCGGGGGCTCCGGTTAACCATTCATTTGCTTCATCAATGTTATCCAATAAAATTGGATCAATGATATTGCGAGCTTTTTAACGACGAGCCAATGTTCTATTATATTTTATGAACACGAGATCATTGAGTTTCTTTAGCTCAAGCCTATTCCCTTTCTTAGTATGAATCTGCATATAAGTTGTACTTAGGACAATTAAGATACACTTTAATTTAGTAATAATGTAATATAGCTTCTCACATGTTCATAAAACTCCAATTTCTATCGCATCCGGATGAACTACAAGTTAAGCTTTGAACTCTAATAGCAAATTGTTGCAAATTTGGAACTTCATAACCAATTGCATCCACCATTCAACTGGAGAAGTATTATTTTAGAAGTTAATAACTTAAAAGTTAAAGCTCTAAAGAGTAAAACAATTGAAACAACTTGCTCACCTGGTGCCAATTTGGTTCTGCCTCTAATGGCCGAAGCTGATCCAAGTATTCCATCGGCTTGCATATACACACCAAGCTCTTCCCCTATTTTGTCTTGCATCGCTTCATTTGGCACCAACTTCGCAACACATGCCTTCCACACTTCTACATCTAAAGTCTTCTTCTCGTTATTTGTATAAAAGAATTCGGGGTTCAAAATATGCCCTGCTGCATGTAAAAGTTGATGAAGCTGATCCGTCCACCTTTCATCAATGATTTCAAAAACTCTCCCATATTTCCTCCTATCATGATCAAATGCCTTCTCAATAGCTTCTTTAGCTCTATCCATGGCTTCATAAATGTATCCCATTGGTGGTTTTCTCTCCCCATCCACCAAACGAAGTATAGTAACCAAAGGATTACCAACTTTAAGTGCTTGAATAGTGTCATTCCAAAAATATGGACCAATAATAAATCTCACAACTTCTTTCCCAAGAGCTTCCTTTGCATAGATGCTCTCACTCCATTCAGTTGACATGAACAAGGTTCGCAAATTTTTCTTTTGCAGGTAAAAACTATGCAAAGACATGATAGCTGTTGCGAATCTTGTCTTAGCCGGTTTCACCAATTTTTTTTGGTTTGTGTATCTCCTCATCATGTTCAACAACAACGACCTTTGACTAATGTAAGAATGTATCTTGATCGCCTTAGCAAAAACTGTAGGAAATCAAATTTCATAGTTAATAAGTATAAGCAATTAACATGAAGGTTAAAATTGAAAATAAGAACCACTTGTTCACCTGTAGAATATGGAGCTAACTTGAAAATGTCACCTAACATCAAGTTGATACAATGTAGGTCTGTTCATTCGGATCGGATATCCGAAATCTGAACCGATCCATTCAATTTCGGATTTCGGATTGGGTCAGATTTCGAATTGTGTTTTTTAAAATTTCGAATTTCGGATCGGTATATTTTAATCCGATCCGATCTAAAATCCAAAATTATTAGGCAATGTATGAATACTACATTTTAATTTCGGATAGTCAGTACTTCCTTTACATCTTCCTCCAAGTTATTGCCTTTACAATTGCTTAGATTTAGCTATATTGGTACCATAATACTCTCATAATTGCATAAACATGATTTTTTCTTAATGTATTGCCTCTTTTACAAAGAAAATATACATATTAGTTTGCAATTTTGAGGCATAATAATACGATCCGAAATCCGATCCGATCCAAACATTAAAATCTGATATGATCTGATATAATTCGGATCGGATTCAGATTGCATTTTCTAGAATCCAAAATCCGAAATCCGAATCCGAAATGTGCTAAATCTGATCCGATCCGTGCATAACCCTAATACAATGTGCAGCACAACGAGTCCAAAAAATATTCGGGGAAACTCCTTTCAACATGTCACCTGCTTTTTTATTCTCACTTGCGTTATCAGTAACAACTTGAACCACATTTTCCGGTCCAACTTTCAATATTGTCTTCTCAAACAAGTTGAACATTGTATTGGAATCGGTTGAAGAGTCACTAGCATCATAGGATTCAAGAAACACACCACCTCTCAGAGAATTCACCAAAACATTAATGACCGTTTTTCCATTTTTTGCTGTCCATTTATCCATCATAGTGGATCGACCCTATATTTTCCATTGCACCTTATGCTCCTCAACAATCTTGTTTGTCTTCTCCACCTCCTTTTTTAGACAATGGAACTCTTACTTCGTGATAGGTAAGGGGCTTCATTCCTGGGCCACATTGGCCTACGGCCTCAATGAATTCACCAAAACTAGCAGTGTAATTTAAACAATTAAAAGGGAGCCCCGCATCATACATCCACCTGGCAAAAGCATATACAATGCGCTCCGTTTAAACTCTTCCTACAAGAATTTACGTCAACAACTTCACCCCAGTGTTTTTGAGAGCACAAAAAAGCGACAAAGGCTCGCCTCTTCAAAAGCGAAGCGCACACTTTATTAAAGTGAAGCACAATTCTTAAAAAACATAATGTAAAATTATAAATAATTAAAAACTTCAATTTAAATACTTAAAAGTAGGTACTAGGTACCACCAAATCATCCACCAACCATCCACAACTCATAGGACAAGCAAAATCAAAGCTACTAAATTACTAGAATCAACATCTTCAAGATTCTTCTTCAAGATTGTCAAAATCTTGAATTCCTCTATTATCTTCATATTGCTCGTCATCTTCTTCTTCCCCCTCCTCTTCATGATCACTTTCATCTTCATCAATTAGGGATAGGGATCGACTTGTAGTAGCCACATTTTTTTCCTTCCTAATAGAGCTTGAACTTGGAGTATATCTCCTTAAACCATAAGGATTCTCCCCAACTCCACTACCAACCGTAACATCACCCCAAGTGAAATCGGAGTCGCCTTCAAATACTTCTTCTTCTTTACAGTTTTCGAGGACTCCAGTTAGCCACTCATTAGCCTCATCAATATTGTCCAAAAGGATTGGATCAATTATATTGCGGTGGTTGTAGCGACGCCTCAATGCTCTATTGTATTTTATGAACACTAGATTATGGAGGCGCTTCAAAGTTAGTCGATTCCTCTTCTTTGTATGAATCTGCAAACAAGATGTGTCAACGAATTAGTAGGAGTTTGGAGAATTGAAATATAATTTACTTTATCTCAAAACACGAAATAATTCTTTTTATTTCTCACGTGTTCAAAAACAAGGCTTTTTCATGAATGTAACAGGTGGCTTATACAGAGAGAATTGGACAAGAGTGGTCGAAAGTTGCAGAGGAGACCAGTCGTTATTCAAGAGAGAATGCATAAAATGTATGCTATAAAACCAGATTTTACCTTTTCGTTCTTCCATTCTCGTTTTTATTGAGGTGTACAGTGGGAACATTAGAAGATACATCTTTACTCTCAAATTTTCCTGAATTTCCCACTCTTAGGAGTGTTCTCACGCTTAAAAATTGTTTTCTTGTTTCTCAATAGAAGGTTTCCTTTCAGTGTATTATATGAGTGATAAGCTGCTGACTGGCAAGCATGAAACCGAATTGCAGTTCTGTGGAAGGATGGCTTATTTCTGGATTGTATTCATGGCCAAATTGAGGAACCAGTTTAATTGTAATTCAATCTTGGCACCAGTCGCTATCTCAATGAACTGGAAAGTGTGCAGTGCTTCCTTGCGGGTGCTTGTCTTGAGCGCGAGTGATAACCCTTAGAAGTAGCCTGTTGAAACAAAAGCTTGAGAATAATATATCTTTTCCTTTTGAGGCATTACGTGCATTTGCTCCTATAGTTTTTGGATGAGCTCAGTATTCAGATCCTTGTATTTACCAGGATCCTGCTTAAAGTCTTAAGATTCAAGAGCGAAGTTACATTTTTGTATCTGTGTTTAAGGGTTATATGTTTTTTGTCTTATTCCTTTAGTTGTGCAGATAATTCTTCGGAATGGAAAGTGGTAGCCTCTCCCAATGTTAAAATCTTGAATGGAAAATATCAAGTTCCTTTCGCATGGCCAATTTGTTCCCTTTTTTCTTATTTAGGACGTAGTATTTTTTGTGTGCGTGTGACTGGCGTGCGCCAGTTGACGTTACTCATGTGATATGCATACAATTCTTTCAGTGTGGTACTGGCATTAGTACCGTGTGATTTGGATTGTTTGAATTATGTGCAAATAACCTTAACATATAAATTTTCCAGATAAAATTATATTTAGTCATTAAATATTACTTTCACTGTTTCAATTTGTTTGAAATTATTTGATTGAGTGTGGAATTTAAGAAAAAAGATAAGATTTTTGAAATTTGTGATCCAAAATAATTAATAGATATTTGTGTGGCTATAAATTATTTCAATAAGGGTAAAATGAGAAGTTTAAAGATCTATTTTTTCCAAATTTAGAAAGGGATCATTCTTTTTGAAGTCGACTAAAAAGAAAATAAGTTCATTCTTTTTGAAATGTATGGAATAATTTTTTTTAAAAAGGACATGAAACTATTTCTCAAATTTAATAGTGGATAACACCCAATCCCTTGATTTTAGTACTTGCATTTTGTTTCAGTGGCAATATTAAAGAATACTAAACATGTCATGTTGTGATGTCTTTTTAGCATATTAGATCATATTATTTTAATATAATTCTTATTACCACTTTATTTTTCATCTCAAATTCAAAAAAGTCTTATACTATAACGATCCGACCGATTGTTTTGTGTATTTGAGCCTTGTTCACTTATTTGATGCTTCTTGTATGTGCATATATTGTTATGTGACTTGCGTGGATGGTTAGTTTGGTTTCAGGAAGGCTTTGGAATGAATTGGAATACTTAGTTTTATAGTTGGATGTTTAAGTTATAAGAGTTGTCCGAGGGTTGACTTTGGTATAAACGACCTCAGATTGGTGATTTGATGGTTCCAATAGTTTCGTATGATGGTTTTGAACTTAGGAGTATGTTCGAAATTGGATTTGGATGTTCCTAGATTGATTTGGCTCTAATTGGTGAAAGCTGAAATTTGGAGGTTTGGAAAGTTCACAGTTTTGACTTGGAGTTGACTTTGAGGCTATTAGGGTCGGATTGTTGTTCCAGAAGGTGGAATAAGTTCATTATGTCATTTGAAATTTGTGCGCAAAATTTGGGGTCATTCCGAGTTGGTTAGACGTGGTTCGACGTGAGTTTTGAAAGTCGGAAATTTGATTAATTCATTAGGCTTAAATTGAGGTGCGATTTGTAGTTTTGATGTTATTTTGTGTGATTTGAGACCTCGAGCAGGTCCGTATTATGTTTTGGGACTGGATATTGTGGTTGCACGGGATCACGGAGGCTTCGGATGAGTTTCAGATGGGCTTCAAGCCATTGATGTTGAATTGGCTGATCAGATCTGGGGTTTTCACACCTGCAAGATTTGGTCCACAGTTGCGAATCCTCAGAAGCGGACCTGGGGTCGCAAATGCGAGCTTGGATAGGATCAGGTTTGTCCGCAGATGTGCGCTACATAGAGCGTAGAAGTGGCTCCGCAGAAGCGGACTTCTGTCCGCAGAAACCAAGGGGCAGATACATAAGTGGATTCTGCATCTGCAAGGCATTTTCCATTGACCAAGTTGACTCAGAAGGGAGCTCTTTTCAGATGGTCTGACGAGTGTGAGAAGAGCTTTCAGAAGCTGAAAACTGCCTTGACTATACCCAGTGTTGGTGTTAACCACAGGTTCGGGGACTTACACTGTGTATTATGATGCATTGCGTATTGATCTTGGAGCGGTATTGATGAAGGATGGTAGGGTGATTGCCTATGCATCTCGTCAACTAAAGATCCATAAAAGGAACTACTCTATGCATGATTTGGAGTTAGCAGCCATTATTCACGCGCTCAAACTTTGGAGGCACTATTTATACGACGTGCCGTGTGAGGTCTACACCGATCATCGGAGTCTCCAGCATCTATTCAAGCAAAAGGATTTTTGATGCAGCGGAGATGGTTGGAGTTATTGAAAGACTATTATATCACCATATTGTACCATCCGGGAAATTTTAATACAGTAGTCGATGCCTTGAGTAGGAAGGCGGAGAGCATGGGTAGCTTAGCATTTATACCGGCGATGGAGAGACCATTAGCCATGGATGTTCAGGCTTTGGTTAAAAGGTTGGATATTTCGTAGACTAGTTGGGTTCTCGCTTGTGTTGTGGTGCAGTCATCTTTGTTTGAATGCATCAAGGCTTTCCAGTTTGATGATCCTCACTTGTTGGTGTTGAAAGACACAGTGCAATAGGGTAGTGCTAAGAAGTTTGTGATTGGAGATGATGGCGTTATGCGGCTTCAAGGCCAGATGTGTGTTCCAAATGTTGGATTGATAGAGCTGCGCCTTGAGGAGGCTCATAACTTACGGTATTCCATTCACCCAGGTATCACAAATATGTATCATGACTTGAAGTACCATTATTGGTGGTAGAAGATGAAAAAAGACGTTATTGGACATGTCTCTCGGTTATTGAATTATCAACAAGTGAAGTATGTACATCAGAATCCGGTGGTTTGACTTAGAAGTTGGTGATACGGGAATAAAAGCGGGAGCGCATCACTATGGACTTTGTGGTAGTATTATCATGGAACTTAAGGAGGTATGATGTTGTTTGGGTCATTACGGACCGATTGACTAAGTTTGTGCATTTCATCCCAGTGATGACTTCCTACTCTTCAGAGCGTTCAGCTCAGATTTACATTAGGGAGATAATTTGCCTGCACGGTGTTCCCATTTCTATCGGACCATGGCACGCAGTTCACTTCACACTTTTGGAGAGATATGTAGTATGAGTTGGGCATGCCGGTTGAGCTGAGTGCCGTGTTTCACCCTCAGACGGATGGGCATACCGAACAGGCCATTCAGATTTTGGAGGATATGTTGAGAGCATGTACTATTGATTTTAGGGGGGTCAGTGGAACCAGTTTCTACCTCTAGCAGAGTTTGCCTACAACAACATCTACCAGTCGAGTATCGAAATGGCTATGAGGCCTTATATGGGAGGCGATATCGTTCTCCGGTTGAATGGTTTGAGCTTGGTTAGGCTAGATTGTTGGGCACAGATTTGGTTCGTGACTCTTTGGAAAAGGTGAAGGTGCTTCAGGAGTGGCTCCGTACAGCATAGTCCAGGCAAAAGAGTTACATTGATAGGAAGGTTCGGAATATGACTTACATTGAGGGTGAAAAGGTTCATCACCGAGTGTCAGGGTGTGATGTGATTTGGGAAGAAGGGCAAGTTGAACCCGAGGTTTATTGGCCTATTTGAGATTTTGGAGCGAGTTGGGAAGGTTTCTTATAGGCTGGCATTGCCTCCTAGCTTAGAGGGGTACATTCGATATTTCACATTTCCATGTTTCAAAAGTACCATGAAGATATGTATCATGCTTTGGCCTTCAACATCGTACATCTTGATGAAAATTTGACTTATGAGGATGAGCCAGTGGCTATTCTAGACCGACAAGTTCGAAAGTTGAGATCAAAGGATATTCCTTCTGTGAACTATGAGGAGATGTCAACCGATTGAGGAGGCTACTTGGGAGTTCGAGTCTGAGTCTGACATGAGGAGTAGATACCCGTATCTTTTTACCAGTCCAGATACATTTCTATGCTCGCTTGAAGACGAACATTTCTTTTGGAGGTGGAGAATGTAACAACTCGATAGGTTGTTTTGCGTACTAACTCCCCATTTTGTGTTTCGAGACCTTTCATCACTCTAATGGATGATTTATGACTTGTGTGCACGGTCCGTGTCGATTTTCGGAAAGTTTGAATATGATTTTTTAAAGAAAATATGATTTTTGACTTTTAGAGTAGCTAGAGTTGACCACGATCAATGTTTTTAGTAAATGACCTTGAATCGGTGTTTTGATGATTCCGGTAGGTTCGTATGATGATTTTGGACTTGTACACATGTTTGGTTAGGGTCTCGGGTTAGCCGAGGCTGTTTTAGCTATTTATGTAGAAAGTTGGAAATTGGAGTTTGAACTTTAAAAAATCTTGAGTTTTGGTGATTGATTCTTGATTTTAAATGTTATTGTGAGGATTTGAGCTTGCGAGCGAGTTTCTATGATGTTATTATCTTGTGTTAATGTTCAGATAGTAGCCTTAGGGCTCGAGTGAGTTTCAGATAAGTTACAGATTAATTTGGAATAACTGATGTGTTTGCTGGAGTTGCTGGGCTGCAGATCTCGCATTTGCGAGGTTCTGTCCGCAAATGCGAGTCCTGCATTCGCGAGAAAAGACTCGCATTTGCGAAGTTGGGAGGAATTGGGCATCTTCGCTTTTGTGAAGTTTACCTTGCTTTTGCAACATGGTAGGGTATCGCAAATGCGAGACAACGATCGCAATTGCGTCACTGGTGAGTGGTAGTATAGCTTCGCTTTTGTGCGGATCTGGTACTTCGCAAATGCAAAGTATTAGTTGCATGTGGGACATCTGGGTGGCTTAGACACTGTTCGCATTTGCAATGTGCGATCATTTCAACTGTGAACAAGAGTTCGCAATTGCGATATCTGCAATTTGGTAAAAGGTAGGATTTCAGGACTTGTCTCACTTTAAACTATTTTGAGACCTAGAATCTATAGAGGTGATTTTGTTCACAATTGCGATATATGCAGCTGGGTAAAAGGTTAGAATTTTGGGACTTAGCTCACTTTACACCATTTTAAGACCTAGACTCCATAGATGCTAGTTTTGGAGAGTAATTTCTTCCCAACTTTATAGGTTAGCAATCTTAACTTGTAGTTCAATTTCCATTAGTTTCACTATCAAATCTAAGATTTCATAGGGTAGGAACTGGGTTTTGGGTAGAAATTAAGGATTTTGTAGAATTGAGATTTAGACCTCAAACTAGGGTCGGATCTCGAAACAAATCACATATTAGGGGGATGAATGGGTAATCGGGATTGTCATAATTTCAGATTTCTACCATGTGGGCTCGAGTTGACTTTTTGTTGACTTTTCCAATTATGTTAATGATCGAACGTTTTTGATACTAGGGTAGAT